TATCAGGAAAATATTATCCTCAGTTTGTGTCTAAATTTAGCCTAAAATGTGTTATTTTGTAATTATGTTGTTTATTTGTTTACATTTTTCCCCTTTAGTCTTTAAAATACCAATATTTGCCCATAACTTCTTATTTTATGTCTGTTTGATGTCATCATTTTAAAAATATTAGACCAGATGATACTCAGTACTCAAGTAGACTTCTACTCAGATACTTTTTTACCCTTACTTGAGTAATAAACCCTATATCAGGAAAATAGTGTCCTCAGTTTGTGTCTAAATTTTACCTAAAATGTGTTATTTTGTAATTATGTTGTTTATTTGTTTACATATTTCCCCTTTAGTCTTTAAAATACCAATATTTGCCCATAACTTCTTATTTTATGTCTGTTTGATGTCATCATTTTAAAAATATTAGACCAGATGATACTCAGTACTCAAGTAGACTTCTACTCAGATACTTTTTTACCCTTACTTGAGTAATAAACCCTATATCAGGAAAATATTGTCCTCAGTTTGTGTCTAAATTTTACCTAAAATGTGTTATTTTGTAATTATGTTGTTTATTTGTTTACATTTTTCCCCTTTAGTCTTTAAAATATCAATATTTGCCCATAACTCCTTATTTTATGTCTGTTTGATGTCATCATTTTAAAAATATTAGACCAGATGATACTCAGTACTCAAGTAGCCTTCTACTCAGATACTTTTTTACCCTTACTTGAGTAATAAACCCTATATCAGGAAAATAGTGTCCTCAGTTTGTGTCTAAATTTTACCTAAAATGTGTTATTTTGTAATTATGTTGTTTATTTGTTTACATATTTCCCCTTTAGTCTTTAAAATACCAATATTTGCCCATAACTTCTTATTTTATGTCTGTTTGATGTCATCATTTTAAAAATATTAGACCAGATGATACTCAGTACTCAAGTAGACTTCTACTCAGATACTTTTTTACCCTTACTTGAGTAATAAACCCTATATCAGGAAAATATTGTCCTCAGTTTGTGTCTAAATTTTACCTAAAATGTGTTATTTTGTAATTATGTTGTTTATTTGTTTACATTTTTCCCCTTTAGTCTTTAAAATACCAATATTTGCCCATAACTCCTTATTTTATGTCTGTTTGATGTCATCATTTTAAAAATATTAGACCAGATGATGCTCAGTACTCAAGTAGCCTTCTACTCAGATACTTTTTTACCCTTACTTGAGTAATAAACCCTATATCAGGAAAATATTGTCCTCAGTTTGTGTCTAAATTTTACCTAAAATGTGTTATTTTGTAATTATGTTGTTTATTTGTTTACATTTTTCCCCTTTAGTCTTTAAAATACCAATATTTGCCCATAACTCCTTATTTTATGTCTGTTTGATGTCATCATTTTAAAAATATTAGACCAGATGATACTCAAGTAGCCTTCTAATCAGATACTTTTTTACGCTTACTTGAGTAATAAACCCTATATCAGGAAAATATTGTCCTCAGTTTGTGTCTAAATTTAGCCTAAAATGTGTTATTTTGTAATTATGTTGTTTATTTGTTTACATTTTTCCCCTTTAGTCTTTAAAATACCAATATTTGCCCATAACTCCTTATTTTATGTCTGTTTGATGTCATCATTTTAAAAATATTAGACCAGATGATACTCAGTACTCAAGTAGCCTTCTACTCAGATACTTTTTTACCCTTACTTGAGTAATAAACCCTATATCAGGAAAATAGTGTCCTCAGTTTGTGTCTAAATTTTACCTAAAATGTGTTATTTTGTAATTATGTTGTTTATTTGTTTACATATTTCCCCTTTAGTCTTTAAAATACCAATATTTGCCCATAACTTCTTATTTTATGTCTGTTTGATGTCATCATTTTAAAAATATTAGACCAGATGATACTCAGTACTCAAGTAGACTTCTAGTCAGATACTTTTTTACCCTTACTTGAGTAATAAACCCTATATCAGGAAAATAGTGTCCTCAGTTTGTGTCTAAATTTTACCTAAAATGTGTTATTTTGTAATTATGTTGTTTATTTGTTTACATTTTTCCCCTTTAGTCTTTAAAATACCAATATTTGCCCATAACTCCTTATTTTATGTCTGTTTGATGTCATCATTTTAAAAATATTAGACCAGATGATACTCAGTACTCAAGTAGCCTTCTACTCAGATACTTTTTTACCCTTACTTGAGTAATAAACCCTATATCAGGAAAATATTGTCCTCAGTTTGTGTCTAAATTTTACCTAAAATGTGTTATTTTGTAATTATGTTGTTTATTTGTTTACATTTTTCCCCTTTAGTCTTTAAAATACCAATATTTGCCCATAACTCCTTATTTTATGTCTGTTTGATGTCATCATTTTAAAAATATTAGACCAGATGATACTCAAGTAGCCTTCTAATCAGATACTTTTTTACGCTTACTTGAGTAATAAACCCTATATCAGGAAAATATTGTCCTCAGTTTGTGTCTAAATTTAGCCTAAAATGTGTTATTTTGTAATTATGTTGTTTATTTGTTTACATTTTTCCCCTTTAGTCTTTAAAATACCAATATTTGCCCATAACTCCTTATTTTATGTCTGTTTGATGTCATCATTTTAAAAATATTAGACCAGATGATACTCAGTACTCAAGTAGCCTTCTACTCAGATACTTTTTTACCCTTATTTGAGTAATAAACCCTATATCAGGAAAATAGTGTCCTCAGTTTGTGTCTAAATTTTACCTAAAATGTGTTATTTTGTAATTATGTTGTTTATTTGTTTACATATTTCCCCTTTAGTCTTTAAAATACCAATATTTGCCCATAACTCCTTATTTTATGTCTGTTTGATGTCATCATTTTAAAAATATTAGACCAGATGATACTCAGTACTCAAGTAGCCTTCTACTCAGATACTTTTTTACCCTTACTTGAGTAATAAACCCTATATCAGGAAAATAGTGTCCTCAGTTTGTGTCTAAATTTTACCTAAAATGTGTTATTTTGTAATTATGTTGTTTATTTGTTTACATATTTCCCCTTTAGTCTTTAAAATACCAATATTTGCCCATAACTTCTTATTTTATGTCTGTTTGATGTCATCATTTTAAAAATATTAGACCAGATGATACTCAGTACTCAAGTAGACTTCTACTCAGATACTTTTTTACCCTTACTTGAGTAATAAACCCTATATCAGGAAAATATTGTCCTCAGTTTGTGTCTAAATTTTACCTAAAATGTGTTATTTTGTAATTATGTTGTTTATTTGTTTACATTTTTCCCCTTTAGTCTTTAAAATACCAATATTTGCCCATAACTCCTTATTTTATGTCTGTTTGATGTCATCATTTTAAAAATATTAGACCAGATGATGCTCAGTACTCAAGTAGCCTTCTACTCAGATACTTTTTTACCCTTACTTGAGTAATAAACCCTATATCAGGAAAATATTGTCCTCAGTTTGTGTCTAAATTTTACCTAAAATGTGTTATTTTGTAATTATGTTGTTTATTTGTTTACATTTTTCCCCTTTAGTCTTTAAAATACCAATATTTGCCCATAACTCCTTATTTTATGTCTGTTTGATGTCATCATTTTAAAAATATTAGACCAGATGATACTCAAGTAGCCTTCTAATCAGATACTTTTTTACGCTTACTTGAGTAATAAACCCTATATCAGGAAAATATTGTCCTCAGTTTGTGTCTAAATTTAGCCTAAAATGTGTTATTTTGTAATTATGTTGTTTATTTGTTTACATTTTTCCCCTTTAGTCTTTAAAATACCAATATTTGCCCATAACTCCTTATTTTATGTCTGTTTGATGTCATCATTTTAAAAATATTAGACCAGATGATACTCAGTACTCAAGTAGCCTTCTACTCAGATACTTTTTTACCCTTACTTGAGTAATAAACCCTATATCAGGAAAATAGTGTCCTCAGTTTGTGTCTAAATTTTACCTAAAATGTGTTATTTTGTAATTATGTTGTTTATTTGTTTACATATTTCCCCTTTAGTCTTTAAAATACCAATATTTGCCCATAACTTCTTATTTTATGTCTGTTTGATGTCATCATTTTAAAAATATTAGACCAGATGATACTCAGTACTCAAGTAGACTTCTAGTCAGATACTTTTTTACCCTTACTTGAGTAATAAACCCTATATCAGGAAAATAGTGTCCTCAGTTTGTGTCTAAATTTTACCTAAAATGTGTTATTTTGTAATTATGTTGTTTATTTGTTTACATATTTCCCCTTTAGTCTTTAAAATACCAATATTTGCCCATAACTCCTTATTTTATGTCTGTTTGATGTCATCATTTTAAAAATATTAGACCAGATGATACTCAGTACTCAAGTAGCCTTCTACTCAGATACTTTTTTACCCTTACTTGAGTAATAAACCCTATATCAGGAAAATATTGTCCTCAGTTTGTGTCTAAATTTTACCTAAAATGTGTTATTTTGTAATTATGTTGTTTATTTGTTTACATTTTTCCCCTTTAGTCTTTAAAATACCAATATTTGCCCATAACTTCTTATTTTATGTCTGTTTGATGTCATCATTTTAAAAATATTGGATCAGATGATACTCAAGTAGACTTCTAATCAGATACTTTTTTACGCTTACTTGAGTAATAAACCCTATATCAGGAAAACATTGTCCTCAGTTTGTGTCTAAATTTTACCTAAAATGTGTTATTTTGTAATTATGTTGTTTATTTGTTTACATTTTTCCCCTTTAGTCTTTAAAATACCAATATTTGCCCATAACTTCTTATTTTATGTCTGTTTGATGTCATCATTTTAAAAATATTGGATCAGATGATACTCAGTACTCAAGTAGCCTTCTAATCAGATACTTTTTTACGCTTACTTGAGTAATAAACCCTATATCAGGAAAATATTATCCTCAGTTTGTGTCTAAATTTAGCCTAAAATGTGTTATTTTGTAATTATGTTGTTTATTTGTTTACATTTTTCCCCTTTAGTCTTTAAAATACCAATATTTGCCCATAACTTCTTATTTTATGTCTGTTTGATGTCATCATTTTAAAAATATTGGATCAGATGATACTCAAGTAGACTTCTAATCAGATACTTTTTTACGCTTACTTGAGTAATAAACCCTATATCAGGAAAATATTATCCTCAGTTTGTGTCTAAATTTAGCCTAAAATGTGTTATTTTGTAATTATGTTGTTTATTTGTTTACATTTTTCCCCTTTAGTCTTTAAAATACCAATATTTGCCCATAACTTCTTATTTTATGTCTGTTTGATGTCATCATTTTAAAAATATTAGACCAGATGATACTCAGTACTCAAGTAGACTTCTACTCAGATACTTTTTTACCCTTACTTGAGTAATAAACCCTATATCAGGAAAATAGTGTCCTCAGTTTGTGTCTAAATTTTACCTAAAATGTGTTATTTTGTAATTATGTTGTTTATTTGTTTACATATTTCCCCTTTAGTCTTTAAAATACCAATATTTGCCCATAACTTCTTATTTTATGTCTGTTTGATGTCATCATTTTAAAAATATTAGACCAGATGATACTCAGTACTCAAGTAGACTTCTACTCAGATACTTTTTTACCCTTACTTGAGTAATAAACCCTATATCAGGAAAATATTGTCCTCAGTTTGTGTCTAAATTTTACCTAAAATGTGTTATTTTGTAATTATGTTGTTTATTTGTTTACATTTTTCCCCTTTAGTCTTTAAAATATCAATATTTGCCCATAACTCCTTATTTTATGTCTGTTTGATGTCATCATTTTAAAAATATTAGACCAGATGATACTCAGTACTCAAGTAGCCTTCTACTCAGATACTTTTTTACCCTTACTTGAGTAATAAACCCTATATCAGGAAAATAGTGTCCTCAGTTTGTGTCTAAATTTTACCTAAAATGTGTTATTTTGTAATTATGTTGTTTATTTGTTTACATATTTCCCCTTTAGTCTTTAAAATACCAATATTTGCCCATAACTTCTTATTTTATGTCTGTTTGATGTCATCATTTTAAAAATATTAGACCAGATGATACTCAGTACTCAAGTAGACTTCTACTCAGATACTTTTTTACCCTTACTTGAGTAATAAACCCTATATCAGGAAAATATTGTCCTCAGTTTGTGTCTAAATTTTACCTAAAATGTGTTATTTTGTAATTATGTTGTTTATTTGTTTACATTTTTCCCCTTTAGTCTTTAAAATACCAATATTTGCCCATAACTCCTTATTTTATGTCTGTTTGATGTCATCATTTTAAAAATATTAGACCAGATGATGCTCAGTACTCAAGTAGCCTTCTACTCAGATACTTTTTTACCCTTACTTGAGTAATAAACCCTATATCAGGAAAATATTGTCCTCAGTTTGTGTCTAAATTTTACCTAAAATGTGTTATTTTGTAATTATGTTGTTTATTTGTTTACATTTTTCCCCTTTAGTCTTTAAAATACCAATATTTGCCCATAACTCCTTATTTTATGTCTGTTTGATGTCATCATTTTAAAAATATTAGACCAGATGATACTCAAGTAGCCTTCTAATCAGATACTTTTTTACGCTTACTTGAGTAATAAACCCTATATCAGGAAAATATTGTCCTCAGTTTGTGTCTAAATTTAGCCTAAAATGTGTTATTTTGTAATTATGTTGTTTATTTGTTTACATTTTTCCCCTTTAGTCTTTAAAATACCAATATTTGCCCATAACTCCTTATTTTATGTCTGTTTGATGTCATCATTTTAAAAATATTAGACCAGATGATACTCAGTACTCAAGTAGCCTTCTACTCAGATACTTTTTTACCCTTACTTGAGTAATAAACCCTATATCAGGAAAATAGTGTCCTCAGTTTGTGTCTAAATTTTACCTAAAATGTGTTATTTTGTAATTATGTTGTTTATTTGTTTACATATTTCCCCTTTAGTCTTTAAAATACCAATATTTGCCCATAACTTCTTATTTTATGTCTGTTTGATGTCATCATTTTAAAAATATTAGACCAGATGATACTCAGTACTCAAGTAGACTTCTAGTCAGATACTTTTTTACCCTTACTTGAGTAATAAACCCTATATCAGGAAAATAGTGTCCTCAGTTTGTGTCTAAATTTTACCTAAAATGTGTTATTTTGTAATTATGTTGTTTATTTGTTTACATTTTTCCCCTTTAGTCTTTAAAATACCAATATTTGCCCATAACTCCTTATTTTATGTCTGTTTGATGTCATCATTTTAAAAATATTAGACCAGATGATACTCAGTACTCAAGTAGCCTTCTACTCAGATACTTTTTTACCCTTACTTGAGTAATAAACCCTATATCAGGAAAATATTGTCCTCAGTTTGTGTCTAAATTTTACCTAAAATGTGTTATTTTGTAATTATGTTGTTTATTTGTTTACATTTTTCCCCTTTAGTCTTTAAAATACCAATATTTGCCCATAACTCCTTATTTTATGTCTGTTTGATGTCATCATTTTAAAAATATTAGACCAGATGATACTCAAGTAGCCTTCTAATCAGATACTTTTTTACGCTTACTTGAGTAATAAACCCTATATCAGGAAAATATTGTCCTCAGTTTGTGTCTAAATTTAGCCTAAAATGTGTTATTTTGTAATTATGTTGTTTATTTGTTTACATTTTTCCCCTTTAGTCTTTAAAATACCAATATTTGCCCATAACTCCTTATTTTATGTCTGTTTGATGTCATCATTTTAAAAATATTAGACCAGATGATACTCAGTACTCAAGTAGCCTTCTACTCAGATACTTTTTTACCCTTATTTGAGTAATAAACCCTATATCAGGAAAATAGTGTCCTCAGTTTGTGTCTAAATTTTACCTAAAATGTGTTATTTTGTAATTATGTTGTTTATTTGTTTACATATTTCCCCTTTAGTCTTTAAAATACCAATATTTGCCCATAACTTCTTATTTTATGTCTGTTTGATGTCATCATTTTAAAAATATTAGACCAGATGATACTCAGTACTCAAGTAGACTTCTAGTCAGATACTTTTTTACCCTTACTTGAGTAATAAACCCTATATCAGGAAAATAGTGTCCTCAGTTTGTGTCTAAATTTTACCTAAAATGTGTTATTTTGTAATTATGTTGTTTATTTGTTTACATATTTCCCCTTTAGTCTTTAAAATACCAATATTTGCCCATAACTTCTTATTTTATGTCTGTTTGATGTCATCATTTTAAAAATATTAGACCAGATGATACTCAGTACTCAAGTAGACTTCTAATCAGATACTTTTTACCCTTACTTGAGTAATAAACCCTATATCAGGAAAATATCGTCCTCGGTTTGTGTCCTTCCAGTGAGCTTTGCAGATGTGGGAAAATGTCATCAGGCAGTAATCATTGTTAAATTCATAATTATTCTCGGAGAGAGACCAACTCTTATCTGCCCCTGGGAGCCCCGTAATGCATAGCGTCATTTCAACATGGCGGTGTCCGCGACACGGTTTATATGCAGGTAGCGGCGCTGCGGCTGCTTTATATAGCGACTCGTTGCGTTCTCCCTCAACCCAAATCCTCGGATCACGCATTTTAGCTAAAACGCTAACGTTAGCTTGCCTTGCGTTGACTGTGGAGTTGTGGGTGATGGTCACGCTGATGTGTCATGAGATTTGAAGCGTTGCTGCCTTTCACAGACACTTTTTCTGCACGTGCTGCAAACAGGATAGCCGTCTTCTATCAGCTGTCCCTCGGCATTCTTCAAATATCTAAAAGATGCCCGTACTTCCCACTTTGTCTTCTTTGAGGGATAAAAAATGTCCTCCTGAGCGCTGCCGTCTCCTCCTTTGGCCATTATTTCAGCTTTAGCTTCAAGAAAGTTTTGGTTGTAAACAACAAAGCGCGCATGTGCCGCCGGTGTTCTGAGAAAACATCCTACTTTGGCCAAACGTCCTACCCATAGGATCATTTAACGGTGTTTTAGATGACACAAACCCTTACCCTAACCCTAACCCAAAAAATCAAGTATCAACGTCAATAACTTACCTATTTTCCTGCAAATATGACAACAGAGTAGCATTCCCTTTTTGTGTTGTGCGCATGCGCGCACATGCTCAGGAACAACGGGTAGGACGGTTTACCGGGTAGGAGAAATTCCCAGAACACCGGTCCTGCAACTTCAGCAGGTGATACGGTGGCTGGTAAGGGTCACCGCGCCTACACCGCAGCCACGGTAAACCCACCAAGATAATAAAATTTTTTTAAAAACAAGACGGTTATTATTATTGTCAACTTTTTTTTACCGGGGTTTACCGCTACACCGGTTACCGTGACAACCCTACCTGATCGGTCTGCTTTGATCTATTTTGAAAACTCCGATCAAAACCGATAGGGGCGCTATCGGCCGATTGGGATCAAATGCCGATCCATCGGTGCATCCCTAGTAGACACGTTAGTCACTGCTTTTAACACTGGAGGTTATTGAGGATCAAATTAAATTCACAGAACTTCTGGTCTGAAGGTTGCTATGACTCACATTAACTTTAGTTTGGTCTCTTCTGTCTCACACAAACACACACACACACACACACACACACACACACACACACACACCAATGAGCCTAAGCGTACAGCCAGAGCGATGTTGGTGTGGCCATCACCCTCATCTCATTGCTGTGAGTGACCTGAAAAGGAGCAAGGCGGCCTACAAACTGGACCAGAATAACAGTTAACTGCAGTATTTAGCGTAGTATGTGAGAGTTTTAGCCTGAAGCCTAAAACAAGTAGCCTAGTGAACTAGACCAAATTCTTGCTTTGCAAAGTTTGGTCTAGGCATGCTCCACTGGAACCTCAGCAGCTCCTACCAGGACTCTGGCTAGCCAGTCACAGCTCTCTAGAGGGGTTTCAAACACATAAAGAGCTGTGATTGGTCCATAATGGTGGGCCAATCATAGTGCTCTATCTGCTTAGTGAACAAATCACAGAGCTTTATCTGCTTTGTGGGCCAATCAGGGCACTCTATATGCCTGGTGGGTGGGATGATGCAACAGAGTGAAACAAGAGTCACATTCATTGTCCAGTGGAATGTGGAGATCATTTGAAAGACAACGGTAGAACCCGCCCCACAACCGAGAGCCGTCAATGGAGCGTGGCCAGACTAAATAATACATTTATTTAGTCTGGCTTGCCAGCCTATAAAACAAGGGAAGTTTGGCCTCATTTAACATCAGACTGTGAGGGAAAGCAGGAGTTTGTCTTTTTTTCTGGCCGTGACATAAGCGTCTTTCAGCGCGTCTCATCTGGATGTTTAATAATTAGAATTTAGGCTTCTTATTAGACATTCTTATTATCATTACTGGAATGAAAAAACATTTCCGCATGCCATCTGAGACAGAATCTTGTATGTCCCAGCTTGGATTCAAACCCGGGTCCTTGGCGTGTTAAGTAATCTCTTTGGCATGTGCAGGTTGTCGCCCAGTGGAGCTACATCTGATTCACAACATGCACTATGTTGAACTACACGTAACAAATTGTCAAAATAATGTAAACCCCAGATAACTAGACATGTATAAATGTATCTGAATGGATTCTTAGGTAATGTTCACTTACATATGTTTTACCAATTGAAGCCGTCCTACGGTTACAGTTTTTGGCCTTCGGACCAATATTTGCTGGGATGCATGGACGTAATTTTGGGGGGGGACAGGGGGGACATGTCCCCCCCCCCCACTTTTTCCAAATTCAAGTTTTGACCCCTGCACTTTTTACCATCCAAAAACAATATTACGCTATATTAAATTGACACTAGTTGAGCTCTAGGACCAAGCGGAAAACAACCATTTGTGTTGAAGCCTGTTTCCCATTAGATCATACTGTAAAGATATACCCCCCCCCCCCTTTCTAAAGTGAAAATTACGTCCATGCTGGGATGCTCTATGTTGAACTACATGTAACTAGTTGTCAAAATAACAATTACACATGTACCTGTAGACATTTACAAATACCTGAATGGATTTTTAAGAAAATTTTTGTTACAAATTTTTTTTTTTTTTTACAAATTTAAGACGTCCTAACGCAATCTTCTTCCGGCTCTTGGAGGGTGCAGACGCTTTTATCCTCCTCTCCTCCATATCCTCAAGGCCTTTGTCTGTCTCTGTGTGCTGGGTGCACGGCTGCTTCTGCAGTTTTCTGGAAACTGGAAACTGAAATTCACTTAAATTCACTTAATATTTGTGACCCAGCAAATGTGATCACTTTTCTCTGTTAACCCATAGTAAAGACATTAAAGAACCAAACTTCATGAATGTTTTTTGTGACAAAGAAGTATCTGTTCCAATCACTCTATCAGAGAAAAATCAGAGTTTTAAAAATAACGGGACACTCAGTAGAGCCATTATATTATATTTTTTACAAGTGTATGTAAACTTCTGACCACAACTGTATATATATATATATATATATATATATATATATATATATATATATATATATATATATATTTATATACAGATCTATATATACAGATCTATAAAATATAATAATAGGCTATGTAAACTTTAAGTTACTGTAGCTTACAATTAAATGTGTTATCTATGAAAGATTAAATGCTTTGTGGAGTGAAATAACAGGAAATTCTGGGCCAAACCCATCCTATTTCATAGACTTATCTCTGGCGTTTATAACAAATCAAACCTTTTGAAAATCAGTTGAAAATTGAGCAAGTTAGTTATTTAAATAGTACATGCACCATACACCCCAATGTCAAGAAAGGGGGCAGCTGACTTAGGTAAGCTGGCCGCCACGTTGCTACGTTGCATCCCATTGGCGAACAGTGGGGATGAGTCATCTAGTGTTTATATACATATCTATGGGAGAGCCAGCTTCACTCAGCTGCTGAGTCTGGTCAGATCAGAGGACACAGACAGCAGCAGCAGTGCTAACACAGTTCTAACTTTTGTGAGACGGGCAGAAATGAGCATTTTGAGCATAGTTTTCGTCTAGTCTCAGCTTGTTAACGAAAACTCCCGTTCGTTTATGTCATGTTCTGTGTCCCTTTGCTCCCCAGCCCCTCCAGTTCCCACTCCAGGTTTTCCTCTTGTGTTCCATTATTATCCCCAGCCCTCTGTAGACTTCCCCCAGGTGTCTTTCTAATCATTCCCCATTCCTAATCAATCTTTATTTAGTCCTCCTTATCCATCTAGTTATTAGTTGTTTATGTTTGGCCCTCAGTCTTTAGGTTTAGTTTTTTGTTTTATAGTTTTAGGTTTATCTGCCCTCCTCTGGTTCTGTTCCCCATTTAGATAATATTATGCACCTGCTTTCCCTCCAGCCTTCACTCCACACACCTGCTGCCTGTTTTCTTAATTGCTCCTCTATGTGTATATAAGCCTTGTCTTGTCATTAAGTGTTTGTTCGTTCATTGTATTTGTCAGCGTTGTTCTGTCTCTCTCAAGTTTTCTCCTAGTCCGTGCTCATGAGTGAGCTTCTGTTTTGTTTTTGAGATTTAGTCTAGTTCCTGTGTTTTTGGACTTTTGGCTCATCCTCCTTAAAATAAAAGAATTATTTTTCTTTAATCACTCCTGCCTCGAGTCGTTCTGGGTTCTGCATTCTGGTTTCCACCTCCTCCTTCCTGA